GTGGCATGTCTGATGTTGCTTGCATTTTTAACTCTACAGGAAATTTGGCTATGTGGACTTTGCATCTGAGGAGGACCTGCAGAAGGGCCTGGAGCTCAATGGCAAAAAGGTCATGGGCCAGGAAGTGAAACTGGAAAAGGCCCGCAGCAAAGAAGGCTCGCAAGACAGCAAAAAAGGTAATGGATGTCATGAATTGAAACATTTCTTTGTGGGTGGAAAAGAATTTTGTTCCTGTACTCACACTGACATATGGCCCACAGAGAAGGACGCACGGACACTGTTTGTGAAGAACCTTCCCTTCTCCGCAACGGCAGATGACCTGAAAGAGATCTTTAAAGACGCAGTAGAAATCCGGGTGCCTCCTGGCCAGAATACTTCAAACAAAGGGTAAGAACAAGCTAGGTTGTAAATGTTTCGTACATTAGACAGTGGTTGGGAAAACTATATACTATATATACAGCAATTAATAATTATTGATTATCTAAATTATTACTATTAACTCAGACTCTACAAGTTTGGACTGATAATCCTAGATAGCATAGTAAACAGCTGAAGTTATGGGCAGTAGTTGTGGAACATGAACTGCTGATTACGTTTCATCATTATCACTCAGTTCCTGTTTTTTAAAGAGTATGTTCCGTGTTTTTGTTTTGTTTTTTTACAGTATTGCTTACGTAGAGTTCAAAACTGAGGCTGATGCAGAGAGGACGATGGAGGAGACCCAGGGGTCTGAAGTACAGGGCAGATCCATCATCATTGACTATACTGGAGAGAAGAGCCACATGGGAGCCAGAGCATCAGGTAGGCTTGAGATATTTTGTAGAACCGTGAGATAAACTTCTTGTAACAAGCAGTTCTAATAATTTCAATTATTATAATGCATAAGTATCTATACTCTTAATGAAAGTGTCTGTGTTTGTATGTATAGTTCTGCAAGTGTACTGATCTATGGTGAACATAACATAAGACAGCTGAAGAATGTTTCATCTTTTCTTTTTGTAGCATCTGAAGCAGCCAGCAAAACCCTGGTCGTGAACAATCTCTCCTTCAACGCGACAGAGGAAGTGCTGCAGTCCACATTTGAGAAAGCTGTTTCTATTAGGATTCCACAGAGAGATGGCAGACCCAAAGGGTGAGTGTCTGCGTGGCCACGGGTAACCCCAATGAGGGCTTTCAAGCTTTCAAATGTAGTCATGGTGTGTAAAACACCCGCGCCTTCTCTTGAGCTCCTGTAAATCTTCCTCATGATAGTACTTGGATTCGCACAAGAAGTAGAGCCAGTGCAGTTAGAACAGGCCTGCCCACCTACGTGGGTGTTGCCTATGTCTGCTGTGCAACAATTACAGTAAACTTTGTAAAATGACAAAATTAAAACATTTTAACCCTGATAGCCCTCAGCAAGACATTCAGATGAAGTATTTCAAAACAGATTTTGACTCTTTTTCTATCGTTGTTCTTCTCTCCTTAGTTTTGCTTTTCTGGAGTTTGAGAGCACAGATGATGCTAAAGATGCTCTAGAAAATTTCAACAACACAGAAATTGAAGGCCGATCAATCCGACTGGAGTACAGCCAGAGCAGAGATTGGAACAGGGGAAACTCAGGTAGGTCATGAAACCAATCAGTTGTCTTTTTAGTTAAGACTCTGCCAGCTGTGATGAAATCTTTATCTCCTGAAACTCTGTGAAGATTCAAAGATAGTCAAGTCCTGAGCTGATCTTTCCATGAATTTTAATTTGTTGAATTGTCTAGATTTGCCCAGATGGGTATTATTTTGCTTATTTACATGATGCCATCTTCTCTACCAGGTCCAACTAAAACCCTGTTTGTCAAGGGTCTCTCTGAGGACACAACAGAAGAGACCCTCAAGGATGCCTTTGAGGGTGCTGTAGCAGCCAGGATAGTGACAGACAGAGATACAGGGTCATCAAAGGGGTAAGTTTGAACAGGTGGAAACACTCCTCCTCCTTCTTCTTCTCCAGCACTTCTCTTGAGCACCGCTCTGTCTAACAATGACAGTGTACGGTTTCGTATGAGAAGGAGAGCAAAGTCGCAGTTAAACAGGCAGCTGCCTGAGTGGCAGTTGCCCATGTCTGATGTGAAACAGACTCGATGTGGTTTGAATTAGACCACTTTGCTCAGATGAGTTATTTAAAGACCAATACTTCACCCAACAAAGTAAAGTAGTTTAATTCATGGCACTGCATTAGAATTACATTTATTAATTAGAACCATTTTCCTTTATCTCGTCCCCTAACCTGTCTGGCTCTATAGTTTCGGCTTTGTGGACTTCAGCAATGAGGATGACTGCAAAGCAGCTAAGGAGGCAATGGAGGATGGCGAGATTGACGGCAGCAAGGTGACTCTGGACTACGCCAAGCCCAAGGGTGAAGGTGGCTTCCGTGGAGGCCGAGGTGGTGGCGGCTTCGGCGGTCGAGGTGGCGGCAGAGGAGGCCGTGGTGGCTTTGGCGGTTTTGGTGGTCGTGGTGGCGGTGGAAGAGGACGAGGAGGACCTCGTGGAGGTGGACGCGGAGGCGGACGCGGTGGTTTCGGAGGTAAGGGATTAAACTCCTAAACCTGTGGCTACTGTGATCATCTTTTAACTGACTTGCAGCTTTAAGCTGGTAGATTTTTACATTTGTTGTTCCAAGAGTTAACTGAAACCGAGCGATGTCTAAGTGTGCCTCTTTATCTTTGTTTTGTAAAATAGCTAAACATGCTGCCTGGTAGATTAAGTTGCCCGTCTTTCTTGTTTCAGGTGGAAGAGGTGGCGGCGGTTTTGGAGGCAAACCCCAGGGGAAGAAAATAAAGTTTGATGACTAAAGTCTTAGTCTATTTTACTTTTTGAAAGGACTCTGGTTGCATCAGTTTTCAGAGCTTTTGGACATTCCACAAAGCGTCATTGGTATATATTTAACTGTTAACGGGCATTTTAGCCCTTTATTTAGACCCCTCAGACCTTCCATCCCCCTTCTGTGCCAGAATGGTACTTCTGACCTTTTCAGCTTAATCAAGACGTGAATACTGAATGTCCTAAATGCAAACCTGCACCTCACGCCCCTGAAGCACACTTGCTTTTCTGGAGGAATAAAATGGAATAGATCAGGTTCGCTGTGAAAAATGTTTGGTTTTGTCAGATACATTGTGTAAATTTAAACCGTTTGTATGATTTCGTTTTACCTTTTGTAAAAAGAAATACACTTGTATCCATATGTTTTGTTCTTATTTTGTCACTTAGTTTACTTTAGAAGCTAATTTTTACTGTAATGTGCAAAGCATATTTTGATAAGCATTGAGTCCTTCCTCATGAGTTGGATGTTGAGAATGACAAATGTTCACATTTTTGCTTGTTTTGTGGGATGCTGTCGATGTCTGAGTTGCAGATGAAAGACCTCTAATCTATGTAACATAAAATATTTGTAGTGCATTGACTAATTTTTTTTTTTTTTCTTCCCCATCTGACGATTTTCAGACGATTAAAACCTTGTATGTGGTGATTTTTAAATGACTCTTGCAATAATTTGTCTTCAAAGTCATGTCCTTTAGACCGGGTCCACTTTCACTAGTGCTGATCAGTTTCTCTGTCAGTGGGATATGTGCAGACTTTAAGTTGTCTCTAATTAAACCACTACTCAAAAAAACCATCAGTTCCAGCTAAAGTTATCAAACTATAGACCAATCTTCCTCTAATTTCAAAAGTTTGTGAAAAACTAACAAAGTATAGGAAGGAAATTATCTCTTTGATGTTTCAGTCAGGGTTTACTGACAGAAACAGACCATAGCACATAAACTGTACTGGTGAAGGTTATAAATATCCCTGGTCTCTGAAAGTGCACTGTGTACTTGTTGTGTTACACCTGAGTGCAGTGTTTGATAATATTAATCACAATATTCTACAGCGATCCTGTTAGTATTAAAAGATGCACTCCTGTGGTTGTGTCACATATCTGATAGACAGTTGTATATTTAAATTGGGAGTAATCTTATTTAACATAAGTTGGCCACAGTCTTCTGTGCTAGGATCAGTTCTATTTACATTATACATGCTTTCCTTTTACAAGGTAATATTAGAAAACGATGCATATAGTTTGATTGCTGTGGACCGGATGATACAACTAAAGGCTTATCCCTCCTAGGACCTGGCGTCCACATACGTGGACATCACATTTTGGGTTATCTAGACCAAAATACTCAATCTTACTCTAGAAAAGCCTGATATCCACCTACGAGGACATTATACTGCTACAGTTCTATCAAAATTTTAAACGAATATCCTTATATGTGGCTTATTTTTCTTAAAATCAAAAATAAGGTCAAAAATAAAATCTGGTAATTCTTCGTTTTTACATTCATCGGGTCCCAATATGCCGAAATATCAAAGAGAAATTAAAAATGAATGCCGTGGAAGAGTTTGGGTCTTAGGAGGTTAAAGGCCTGAATCACCCATAAGTTTACAAGAAATTGAGGTTATTGTAATCAGCCCTAGAAATTGTAGAAACAGTTTCTAATTAGAATTACTGAATGCATGCATCATTATAAACAGGCTGTTCTGAAAGTGCTGAAATCCAAAGATGAGAAAGAGATCCTATTTCATCAGTGTTGGTTTCTTTTTATCGGCCCCTTTTTAAAGACCTCATAATATGGAAATATCATAATCTAGCAATTCACGCTTGTATTCAGGAAACAAACCTTTCTGCTTTAAAGATGAGTACATCAATGCAGATGGCTGTCCGTCCCCAAGCCTGCTTCTACTTCAGGTTTCCTCCTATTACAAGGAATTTTTCCTTCTCACCATTGCAAATTGCTCGCTCATAGAGGCTTGCTCCATTATTGGGATTCTCTCCAAAACCTTAGTGTGAATTGACTCTATTCGCAATTCATTACATTATTTTGGATGTTTGTGATCTGTAGACCAGCAGTTTTTTTATTTGTTTAACTATGAAATTTCATAAACCTAAAACGTCTGGAATGTATGTATGGTCACGGTGTTCATATTGAATATACAGAGTAAGAAAGATCTGAATAGAAAAACAGGGTTTGTTGTGAGAGGACCTGGAGGACTGCAGAGCTAAGAGCCCTGACATCATGGCGTCAGGACAATAATCTGCCTCTTAACATCAGCAAGAACAAGGATCCAGGACCTCTACTGACAGCGCTGTAGGAGGAAGGCCCCACAGATCCTCTCTTATCCCACCCACCACAGCCATACACCTCTCACACTCCTTCCATCAGGTAGGAGGTACAGGAGCATCCAGGCTCGCAGCAGCAGATTCAGGGACAGTTTCTACCCACAGTCTATCAGTTCTACTGCACTACTGCAATATTAGACAGTTGGTGCAATCACTGCACACACTGTACATGTAAATACATTACCTCTGTACTACAGCCACCACAGTATTTTTAGTAATTTGTATTTATATATTTCTTTATTTATGTTACGTATGTGTAATTCGTTTTTTTTGTCGGTTTGTTTTTTTAAGGGGCTTTGACCTAAGAATTTCATTGCTGGTAGTGACGTGCCATTGTTACCTGTATATAACTAATTAAACTTGGACTTGATTTGATTGGGCTTTATCCCAAGAAGCTATAGCCTATGCATGATGACACAGTGTCACTAGATTATCCTCTCGGCTCTTAAAAGTCATTCGGGCTCCAAAGCAAAGTTTTTGCTAATCGTCATGAAAGTTAAGCGTTAAAGATTTCATCTCATAAAAGCAGTGTGGTAGGACTCGACTTGAGCGGTCAAAGAAGTGCAGGAGACTGATGCTGTCCAGTGTAGCAAGTGATTTATTCACCATTTTGTGACCCAAACAATATTTACAAAGAAACAAATAAGAAACTCAACTCTATAATTAACTCAGTTCAAATAAACATAACTGAACTTAAATCAACGGAAATTAAGGTCAAACTGCACACAGCTACACTGACCTGAACCTTTCTTTTGAAACACCTGAGTTCTTCTGCTTAAATAGTCCACTTAACCAAACAATTTCTCCTCTGGACTATTCCATTCAGTAGGTAGGTAAGATGAACATGATTATATTCAAACCTCTACTACTCCTCTTTACTGGCAACATAAACTCTGTGGTGTAATCAATACATATTACAACAATAAATCTATTTCTTCATAAACCCTCTAAAATCTACTTTATTAAATTATAAGAGTTCTTCCCCTTCTGCACTTGGCCTCTTCCTGTGACCTCAGATGAACCAGAAGGTATAAAGCAGGAAGTAAAACTATACCTAAAGCTATATAAATAAAATTGATTTGAATTGAGTTGAATTGAATTTTGTTTCTGGAAGACAGGTAGGTAAGGTAAGTTCTAAACAATACAAATTAACAGTTGAAATAAATAACACGTTAACTTAACAAACTTGTAGGGATTGATTTAAACCAAGATATTATATTATATTATATAATCTGTAAGAGTGCAAAACATAAACAAACCTGGGATAGTAGATGTTTGCCTATTGCAGATTACATGTGAAATATGGTTAAATCAAAACAAGAATGTTAACTAAGAATATGGACAAATGGTCTTCTCACCCACTTTGTCACAAGCAGATTCGTTTAAACCGCATTTCTTTCTTTAATAATACAACACAACAAAGCATACAAACAGAACACACTGGGGCCAAGTTGCTTAATAAATGTTTGTCTCCTAATGAACTCTGCTGTTTTAAGCACAGAGCAAGGGAATTAAAACGTGGATACCTGTCCCTCAGGTTACAAAAACTCTTATTGTTATCTTTACACACTTGATACCTGTGAAAAATGTATCGAAAGACTTGAACTGTGACATTGTTTCAAATTAAATCAAATACACCTGTGGCTGTGGCAACCCCCCTTCTGAATCAGTGAGCAGCCAAAGGTAGCTCTAAAAGTTAATAAAATGCTTGTTGGGAACACTTGCGGTTTATTTTACCACATACAAAGTGGACAACGAGCACGATGAGGACTATGGAAATACCAGGCTTTGATCCTAAAATTAAAAAAAAAAAAACATAAAAAGATTCCAAAGATTAGACAAGAAGGGGATTATTTTGTCTGAGGATCACGTCACAGGAGTGCTTTGAATACGTTGAGATACTGCTGTACTAAATAAGTCAACCACATGGTGCCGCTAGAGGGCAAGCCGACTGAAGCTGAGGCGCAAATAAGCCTGAGAGATTTGCACTAAGTACGAATCAACTCGTCTTAACACGCTTTACCACAGATGTAATGGATGTCTGATGGAAAGCAGTTCTTTATGCAGATTGCCAAAATCATAAAATACAGCAGCCAGCTTCGAATCTGACCCAGGGGTTAGGCACAAAAAGTGATACAGTTAGCCGATGTCAAACAAATCTCATGAATGATGTTAAGCCACTTTGATCAAGCAACACAAACAACATTCCTGTCACAAGCCAGAAGCTGCAGTCAGAGTTTAGCAAAGTGACTCCTGTGTATGCTTTATCTATCTAAAAGGCAAAAGGTGTGAGTGTCATTAAAAATGTATTTTTGTTAAGGGCAGGAGAGGTTCTAACACATATAATATAATCGTTCTATTTTCTCTCTCCCCATCATCTTGTGTATCTTCAATGATCAACTATCAAATAACGGCAAAAATGCTAAAAAAAAAAAAAGTCATCTTAAGAAGCAAAAAAAGGTTATGTAATCCAGGCAGGTAGGTGACAAAAACTATCAGGAAACAGCGCTTCTATAAAGGACGGCTGTTACTGTAATCTCTGATTGTTCACATGTAAGAGGACTCGGTGCGACCTGACTCCGAGTTCCTGTGGCAGGAGTGTCTTTTGTCAGTGACACCAGCAGACAGGAGACAGCGCCAGGCTGCCATCAGATGGCTCTCCCAGCTGAACAGGGATCTTTGTTCCTGTAGGTGCCTGGGCAGGAGGCACTGATGATGGCACCACTGAATACCTCCATTGAGAGGTTTGTTGTACCACCCCCGACCCCTCCCTGCCTTCAACACTGACAGAGGTCACGCTAGCGTTTCTCTGTGGCCTTGTGACGGTCGTCTACAGTGACTGCCGTGCTTTCTTTTCTGTTTCAGGACTCTGTTGTAAGCTTATATGGACAGTCAAGAAGACATAAGTAAACACTGAGTGTTGTCTCATCTGATAATCAGCTAATCTAAATAATCTTGCTCTAGTTCTCTTCACTTATGTACAACACTTACGTGCAGCACAGATAATGACTGTAAAGATTGTGGGGTTTTTAGTATGCCACTCTATCCATCCAAAACACATATTTTTGAAAGAAAAGGTGCAAGCTTTATTAACTTTATTGTTTTTGTACAGTGTTTTTTGTCTTAATGTCTATAGCAGTTATCCCAAATATCAGGCCCGGGGACCAGAATCGGCCAGGCAAAGGCTTCAATCTGGCCCACCGGAAGGCTTTGGGAAATGTGAAGGAGTGAATAGAATTTGAACTTTAAATTGCATTTTTATAAGTTGGACAGCTTTTTCTGTTGACAAACACCTCCCCAACTGCCATTCATACTA